AAAGGAGGAAGTGCTAGATCAAATACTCTTTGAGAACCCAAGAATCACAAAGGCAGGAGGAGTCCCGTTCGCTGCAGATGCCTCGAGTGGATCTTTCGGACTAGCTTGGATACAGAGAGGCACAGTTCGTATCAGAGATGTCTGGTCTACAACTCTGGGCACATGGCGCCCAATGTCGGAGATGAGAGAAACATTACATGACCTGCAGAATGTGGGGGAGCATCTGTGCCAGATAATCAATGCCATTCCAGAGTAGTGGCAACACATCGTTGGACCGGAGGGACTGGAACCCCCAGGAACATGGTACACCGCAGAAGCGGAGGGTGAGGAGAAAGATGTGGTATGGAAGCTGTTGGAAGTCCTGCCAAGTGGGTTCAGGAAGGTGGAAAGATGGAGAAGCATCAACCACAGAAATGAGCTGTCCTTAATTAATGAAACGGTAATTATGGCCGAGGGAAACCCCGCACAGGCAAGAGTCATTGAAGAAACCAAAGGCCCGGAAAGGAGACGCAACTTCATCTGGATAGGAGGATCGTGGTTGAGAAAGTTGAGCATTGACCCCATCACTTGGGCATGGAGCACAGGAAGACACAGACATCCTACTACGAACCTCCTCAAGTACACTGTTGCTGAAGGATACGACCTTCGACATTGAAAAATGAACAGGAAAATCCCTGCAGAAGTGGCAATCGTCAGGTGGCAAGCGGTCTCACCAGAGGATCTAGGCGATGCAGGCCCTCAGTTCAAGAAGCTGTGGAGTGCACTGACATGTTTACTGAATGGGAAACAGGTAACCATCTTATGGCTACTCTCATTAATGACAACGCCATCTGCAGTTTGGTTGGTAGGCAGAGGCATGCAAGTACAGCTAAAGTGTTCACGATGTAGTTGGCCATTCGAATCCACCAGGCATCTCTGGTGGGAATGCCCGGCGATAAGGCGTATTTGGAAATGGTGGGCACACCATTGGTGCCGGTTTGGCGTTCCTCGGGTGGAGTGGGAAGAAAAGTGGGTTTTGTTGGGGTTCTTCCTAGAAGGAATGGATGAGAAGAGAGGGTGGGGGTATGTTGCTCATGTGACAAGAGGACTGATCTGTGACATTATTTGGCAGGACAGCAACATGTCGAGGTTCCAAAAAGACCCTTTTCAGATCTTGAGATTAAGAAAGCAATCTGTCAAGGCCTGAGAGAGAGGCAATTCGTGTGGACTGGAGGTGAAAAGCCAAGGCTGGGAGAGGAAACAGCAGGCAACTACGCTGGTTTCTCAACACTTGGGCCTACAAGCATCAACTTGCAGGTGTTCACCGTACAAGGGGTCTAGTTCTCGCCCCCTGGATTCAAGAGCTTCCAAAAGTTATGGTGGGAAAAACAGGCGGTAGGTAGGCGAGAGGTATGCTTGGTTGGGAACCAGGACACTCAGTTCCCCAGAAGATGAGTAGGTACAGCCGCAGGAGGCACTGAAAGTGGGAGGAGGGTGGTAGAGTGTCAAGGTTACCAGGAACGCGAGTTCCAACCAGTCGAGGTTGGGCTGGTAACTGACCGTGAGTAGGTCTGTATTTTTCGGATTTTGAATACGATTAGAACGTAGGTAAGAAAGTTTACTAGTATGTGTTATGCTATAGGGAGTTAACACAGAAGTGTCGATAAGTATACAGGAAGGGCTTTAAAACAGAGGAGAAGTTGTGTTATGCTTATATTAGATAGTGAGGGGATAGGCTGAGACACAGTAGCGGCAAAGAAATGAGTAACAGACAAATAGAATTTCTGTTGAATTTGGGAATGTTAATTATGTAAGTTTGAAAGCAAAAAATGATCCGGTGAAGTAGGAGCATCAGTTAGATTAGGATCAGCCCCTGGCTGTAAGCGAAGCCTTCAGAAAAGAAACAAAAAAAATCGAAACGGGGTTTTCTGGGGATCGGTATGATACAAGCAAAAGAAGGGGTACGAAAGATGGCACGGGTTCGGTAAGTGGTTCGTCACACGCGGCCGCGGCCGATGAGGCCCAGTCCACAGCCTGTTTTTTTAATATTTCGCCCTCCCTAAAAATACGTTAAAATATATATATATATATATCACTACGCGGCCATGCTGT